CACGCACGTGTGTAAAAGATGTAAATCATTTAAAAAAAAGAAAAAAAAATTAATTTTTTACCTGTTTTCTCTTCCCCTCCCTTTCGTTCCCCCGCCTCCTCTTACTATCACTCCCCTCCTCCCTCCCCCCTTCGGTAAAATACCAAAAAAAACACTGATAATTAACGATATGTTAACCATTATTATTATAATTATTAATAACAATTAAATAATTAAATTAAATTTAAAAAATTAGCGAGAAAGGGGGAAAAGGGGGGGGGTGAACATTAATTACGTCACACTTCAAAATAAGATATTTTCTGTAGTTTTATGATATATATATATAAATAATTATAATAAACGGTAATCGTTCTTATCATCGATTGATAACGTGAAATAATAATAATAATAATAATAATATGATAATGATAATAAAAACGATTCGAAATTAAATTATATATATATAAGCACACATTTTTTTAAATTCACTTAACACATATTATTATAAACATTACAATACGACAAATAAATAACGATAAAAATTATGTTTTTTGTTTTGCATACAATAAACAAACAAACAAACATCATTGAGAGAGAGAGAAACAAAAAACAAACGAACAAACAGACAGATGTAAAAATTTTTCACGAATCACAAAATAATATACAAGTTTTTTTAATACATTTATCTTATTTAAAGAATTTTCATTTAGTTTTATTATTATTATATGAAATGATAGATATGTCAAAGGTCAATTTAATACCGGATATATTTTAATAAGGAAAGAAACAAAATAATAATAATAATAATAATAATAATAGAAAGTGTTAAAAAAATTAAAAAAAAACGCACACGATGAAGCTTTTTTTTTCCTTTTTCTTTTTTTTTCATTTTATTTATTTTTTTTTTAAACTTATTTATTTATTTATTTTTTTTCTTCTTCTTACACGCTAATTATATTTATGCATAAATACATAAATACATATATACATAATTTATTATTGTTGTTTTTTAATTTAAAAAAAATCATTTATTTATTTATTTCTCGGCTTATCACAAAAAAATTACGCCGATGTTTTTTTTTTAAATTACCTATTTATTATTATTATTATTATTATTATTATTATTAATTATTATTAATTATTATTATTATTATTAGTATTATTATTCTAAGGTTTTTTTTTATTTATATATATATTATTGACTGACTTATTTATTTTAATTTTTTTTTTTTCTTTTGACTGATTTATTTTATATGTCGTAAGTAAAACATACGATTTATTATTATTATTATTATCATCATAAGTTATAAGAGTTCAAATAAATAAATAAATAAAAACGATGAATGATAATAATAATAATAATAATAATAATAGAGAAATGAATGCGATTGATTGATTGCCATTTTTTTTTTTTTTTTTATTTAAAAGCCACGTGAGTGTGTGTGTGTGTGTGAAATTTAACATAGAAAATTTATTATTATTATTATTATCTGTTTCGAATTAAATTTATTAAACGATAAATAAATAATTAATAATGTTTTTCCGTATACAAATATATTTATTTATTATTATTATTATTATTATTATTATTTAAAACGGTTTTTTTTGAAAAATTTTTTTAAAGAATTTTTTGGTCCCCAAATCTCAAAACTATTTTTTTAAGAATTAGCGACAAAATTTTTCCGTTTGTGTTTGTGTTTGTTTTCACGTGTGAAATGTAACTTTTGATAGTTTACATAAAAAAATTTTTATTTACATAAAAAATGTGGAGGAGGGGGGGGTGAAAAAAAAACAAATAAGTCAAAAGTTATTAAAATCAGTCAATTTACCTTTTTTTTTTTTTTTTTTTTTTTTTTTAATAAAAACATCTATATTAATTTTTTTTTTATTAAAAAAAAAAATTTGACTACAGGATAGAAATTTATTGTCTACAAAAAAATTTTTTTTTTTTTTTTTTGATGAAAGTGAAAAGCAGACAAATTTTTATTGCCCGAAGTCACTATTGCGCCGATCGGCAGAGGGTACTGCCACCGCTCGACCACCCTGAAGGCACTGGTCAGGCCAGCCTCTGTAACAACCAATAACCAAAAAAATAAACTTTAATAAAAAAAAAAAAAAAAAAAATTTATTAAAAAACATTCTATCATCTATCTCTCTCTCTCACTCACTCTCCATCTATCTATCTCACTCACTCTTTCGAAAAAAATAATAAACATGTGTGTACGAACCTACACGAACCACTCGTCCTTCTGGCCGGATGAGATGTCGCTAAACAGACAAAAAAAAAAAAAAAAAAAAAAAATTTTATTTATTAAATCAGACAAACGGAATCACCTTATTTGGAAACAAACACAAAAAAACTATTGTTATTATTATTATTATTATTAACGGGAGTGTAAGGTGAAACGTTTACAAGTTCATACCTGTCAGAGCCGGAGTTTTTCACTCTGCCTGGCAGTAGAGGCGGGCCCAGACCACGAGGTACCCGCGCACCACAGGGTGAACCCAGTTTACCGTCAAAGGAGTGATAACAGTTGTGCCTGGAACAACATTTGATTTCTGAACGTGTATTTGGCTTGTTCCATTTGAGCCGCTATACACCTGGTGCACTGGAAAAAAAGTTTTTATTAAATTTCTGAACTTTTACCCCCTCCTACCCTCACCCCCCCCCGGAAAAAAAACTAATTTTAAATTATCAATTTTATTTTTTTTTTTTTTTAAAATTTGTCGCAATTTTTTTTTTTTTTCTGTTTTAGGTTGTCGCCAAAATACAAAAAAAATTTTTTTTTTTTTTTGTTTTTTTCTCCTTCTTAAAAATAAAAAAACAAAAGAAATAAAATTTTTTAACCGCAGCAAAAAAAAAAAAAAAAAAAAACGCCCGCAAACTTTTCGCTTATTTTATCCTTTTCCGGTCGTAAACGGAAATAATTTGAAATTTTTTTTTTTTAACAAAAAGAAAAATTCAAAAAAAAAAAAAAAAAAAACAATTTTAAAAGAAAAGCAAATTTTCCTTTTCTTTCCTTTCCATTTTTTTTTTTTTTTTGTTTTGCTTACTCTCGTGGTTTTTATCCCCTCTCTCTCTCTCTCTCTCTCTCTTTCAACCACCACCACCTCCTACCCCCCACTAACTCTTCCTCACATTACACGTTTTACGCGAAAAACTTTTTTTTTTTTTTTCGTTTGAAATTTAGGCACTATAGAAAACAAAATACAAACCTTTTCTCTCTCTCTCTCTCTTTCTATCTCTCTCTCCTTCTCTCTCTCTCTCTTTCTATCTCTCTCTCCTTCTCTCTCTCTCTCTCTCTCTCTCTCTTTCACTTCCCATTAAAATCAATGCGAGAGATTTTTGACTCAGATTTAAAAAAAAAAAATGGCACGGAAAAAATTTTCTCTCTCTCTCTCTCTCTCTCTTTTTCTCTCTTACCTAAAAATTAGCATTCTCTCTTCTAACATGGAAAAGAATTTAACATGCAAATGACGTTTTTTCCCCCCTCATCCCACTTCACTCCTCTTCTCCCCATCTCTCTCTCTCTCTTTCTCTCTCCTCGTAAAAAGGCTTTTAAAAATTTGATTTGATCTTTTTTTCTTTTTTTTTAGGGCTTTGAAAAATGTAAATTTTTCTACTTATTTTGAGTGCGTGAAACGTTTTATTTCTTAAACAATATTATACATACAATTTTCTCTCTTTCCCTCCCCTCACTCCTCCCCCTCTTTCTCACCACCCCGCTCCCCATTTCCCCCTTCACGCAATTTAAGTTTCCAAACACATTTTTTATATATATATATAAAGAAAGAAAGAAAAAAATATATAAAAAGAGAGAATTATTAAGAGAAAATGAATGAATGAATGAATGAATGATGGAGAACCTTTCAGGTGAAATTTATTTTCATTAGAAAAAAAAAAAAATTTTCTTTTTTTCTTTCTTTTTCTCTTTCCCTCCCTCTCCCTCTTTCTCTCTCTCTCTCCTACCCTCTCTCTCTCAATCTTTGATGTCGTAATTATTACATTCATCAATTTAAACCTTTCAACCGAATATTACGTAATTAATTTTAATTTATTTTTTTTATCCTCCCCCCTCACTTCCGCCCCTTCCCCACCCATCCTTCTTTCCTAATCGTTAATAAAAGATTTTTTTTCGTCACTCTCCTCTCCCCCCCCCTCTCTCTCTCTCTCTCTCACTTCCCACGCCTTGAAGAAAATTTTTCTTTTCTGAAAATTTCTTTTTTCTTTTTTTTTTTTTTTTTACAATAATATTCCCATAGTCCGAAATTTTCTTAATTATTATCATTATCATTATTATTATTATTATTATTAAAACAATTAATAAAAACTTTTCTTTCTTCCGAATTTTATTTATTTTGACTTTAAAAAATTATTATTTATTAAACTTTTAAATGTAAATATTTAATAATTTTTATTGAACTATTAAAAAAGAAAATTTTTTACTTTTCCCACCCCCTCCCCTTTCCCTGCCCCTTCCAATCCCACCCCAATTTAAGAAAGGAAAACTGTCATTTAAATTTATTTCAAAAAAAAAAAAAAAAAAAAAAAAAAACTTCTTTCTATTTACACGTCATTTTAAATATAATAGGTATTGTTATCATCATCATCATCGTCATCGTCAATCATTATTATTATTATTATTATTTATTGTTATAAATGATGAAACTTTCAAGTTTTTACTTTCGATCGAGTTTTAAAACAAAATTCAAATTTTATAATGACGTCATAATAATAATGATAATGATAATAATGAAAATTCTATAACAACTCCGATATATTTATATATATTTTTTTTTTTTGTTATTGTTAAAAACTTGGTGATAAAAAGAGACAAAAGATGGAAAATTTATAATAGTTTGAAAAAAAGTTTTCTTGAGAACCTTTCGAAAATAAACCTTTTCGAATAAAAAAAAAAAAAAATTGATTTTCTTTAATAATAATAATGATAATCGATCGATTTTATTAAAATAACGATTTTAATTATTATTATTATTATTATTTGAACGAATGATTAATTTTAATCGTTACGATCGGGTTTTCCGGGGGAAAAAGAAAAATGTCGGAACATCAAAGAATACAATGTTATTCTTAGAAAAGAAAAAAAAAATGGCGGAAAACGTTTTCCTTTAAAAAAAAAAAAAAAACGAATTTTGTCGGGGTTTTAGAAATAAAAAAAAAAAAGAAAATTACATTAAAGAAATTTTCTCTTTTTTAAAAAGAAAATTTTTTTTTTTTTTTTTTTACGTTTTACAAAAGTTTAATAAAAAAAAAAAAAAAAAAAAATTTCCCACTTGCGAAAAAAAAAGAATAAAAAAATTTTCCGAGGCTTTTCTTTTCTTTTCTTTTCTTTTTTTTATTAATCTCATTGCCGTTCGCATTACGTAAAAAAAACACGCACACGCACAAAAACACGCGAACGTGCGTAGATTCTCGTAAAAAAAAAAAAAAAAAAAAAAACCTCGTGATTTCCCTCCACCCCCTTCTCCCTACTCCTACCCTTCCCCCACAACACGAGAATTTTTTTTTTTTTTTTTTAACGCATCGACAGCCTGGAAAAAATCCCCCCTTCTTTCTCCCCAAAAAAGATTTATTCCCGAAACCTGATCGTCAAAATTTTCCGACGGGAAAGAAAATGCAAAAACAAAAAAAAAAAAATCTCAAATTTTCACATTCCGATAATAATAATAATAATGATAATTAAAATTCGAACACATCGACACCTTTAAAATTCCATTTCCGTTCAAAAACCGGAAATTGCGTAATAACGGTTTAAAATTATTTAAAAAGTTTACTTACGGGGATGCTGAGAGTGAGAAGGAGTGCTTTGTTGCATTGAAGGCCGATTCCTGCAGAAAATAATTCCAGCTATGACCCCCAAAGCGGTTAATATCAATAGAAAGCTGATTGATACGACTACGAATATGGGTAAACTTATTCCTAATATGTAACCGGAATCGTTTTCTAAAAATCACAACAAACAAAAAAAAAATAATAATAATAATGAGGTAAGTTAGAAAAAAAACCGTTTATCGAACCGGATGTAATGATGAGCAACTTACTAGAACATTTTGGTGATGATTCGTCACTTCCGTCGGCACAATGACTTATACCGTCGCATAATAGTTCGGGATGAATGCAAAATTCTTTTTGATGACAACGAAAATCCCTACATTCGTGTTTGGGATCTTTAACGGCTGTTATAACGAGTCGAAAACCGTTATTTTCCGTACCCCAATTATCCGTGACGTATTTCAACGTCACGAAATTCGTACGGGTGAATATTACTCCAACTGACGATTTTGTATTTCGGCAAGATAAATCAGCCTGTTAACAAAATAAATAAATTAATTAATTTCCACTATGTTCAATTCTATTTATCATCATTATTATCATAATAATAATAATAATAATAATAATAATAATTAATTATTTTTTTAATTTTTCAACCGTAAACTGAAAAAAAAAAAAAAAAAAAAATTACATTTTCGATTGAGTAATTTATTCGAATCATCATCATCATCATCATTACTTTTATTACATTTATTTTGAAACGCAAAAAAAAAAAAAAAAAAAAATTTACAAACCGTTAAATCCTTTCCCCTTTCCCCTTTCCCCCTTCCACCCTTTTTTAAGAGCGTTTTGGAGGAAGGGAGGGAAGAAGGGAGAAAGGGGGGCGGGCGTTTATTAAATTTTCCACGACATAATTACGACGATTTTTTTTTTTTAAACGAATCGAATTCAAAATAATAATTATTATTATTATTTTTCATAGGGGAGGGCAGAGGGAAACGATCCTTTGTTTTATTTTCAATCAATCAATCAGTCAATCAATCAATCAAATATTTCTTTACCATTTCATTCCCTCTCGATTTCACATTACAAAAATAAAAATTTTTTTTTCTCTCTCCCATTTTATTTCATTTTATTTTCCGGAGTTTCGAACGTACTTAAAAAAAGAAAATAAATTAAAGTTTTCCATTAATAATAATAATAATAATAAAAGTGAAAATTACGTAAAATAATTAATGTGAGATTTAAATATGCATTTAATAATAATAATAATAATAATATATAAACGTTGAAAAAAATTTTTTTTTTTTTTTTTTTCGGAAAATTAATATCGAAATGAAAAAAATTAATCATCGTTGGAATTTTTATTAAATTTTCTCTCTCTCTCACTCTCTCTCCCCTTCTCTCACTCTCTCTCTCTCTAAGGATTTACCCCCAAAAAATTTTTTTTATTAATAATAATAATAATAATTTTTAAAAATATTTTTTCGATCGGGTTCCGTACAGGTAACAACGAAAACAACAACGCAAACGTCGCATTATTATTATTATTATTATTATTATTATTATCATCTTTTTTTCTGTTATAAGAAATAGAGAAAGAGAGAGAAAGATAGAGAGAGAGAAAGAGAGAGAGAAAGAATGAAAGACAAGGATAAAAAAGATGACATGGATTATGTGGCACCTTAAGACGTTGTTTCTGACGTAAAATGATTAAATGAATTTTTTTTTCCTTTTGTTGTGTGTGTGTGTGTGTAAGTGCGAGTGTGCGTTTCTAGAAAATTCTAAATAATTAATTCATACACGAAAATTTTATTTTCTTTTTTTTTTTTTTTGGGAGAAAATATATATATATCCGAAAATTTTTTTTAACCAACGTAATAAAAATTACGACATCACGCGACATTTTAAAAATTACAAAAAAAAAAAAAAAAAAAAAAACATTAAGAAAATAATATATTTTAATCAAATCTTTTTTTTTCCATTTTGTTTCCGTTAATAACCCCCCTTCCTCGCACCCCCCTCCTCCCTCCCCCACCGCCAAAAAAAAAAAAGAAGAAAAATTTCGATTTCGTTTCTTTAACTCATCTGTAACTGTCTCTCTCTCTCTCTCTCTCTCTCTCTCTCTCTCTCCACATATATATTTTTATCATCCCATTCCATTTTCTATCATTATTATCATTATTATTATTATTATTATCATCATTTTTTCTTTTTCATCTCGTCGACATTTTTTTATATACTTTTTCCTGCCAAAAAAAAAAAAAAAACCATTCGTTCAATTATTATTATTATTATTTTTACCTCGTTTTCAATTTTTTTTATTTGTTATATAGAAATTTTAATTCCGATCGTTACGTCACACGTTTTTAAACAAACGCAAAAAAATCAATAGTAGCAAATTTTCTATTAAAAAAAATTGACGGTAGCAAAATGTAAAAAATTTACGACCGAAAGTTTTTCTAAATAAATATTACCCGAAATTTAATTTATTATTATTAATATTATGCCTTTAAAATATTATTTACAAATTCTCAAGTTTATAATTTATTTATTTATGTAAACAAAGCAGAAGACGTTTAATTATTTAATAATAATAATAATAATAATAACGATTTTTTTATTATGCGGATTTTTAAAACGGAAAAAAAATAAAACCTTTCCTTAAATTACGACGTGAAAATTTTTCCATCAGTTTTTTGTAAAAAAACGGGAAAACGGGACAGTTATCTCCCCCCACCCTTAACCTCCACCCCAACCCTTCCCCCCAAATGAAATAATAATAATAATAATAATAATAATATAAAACCCAAAGGATAAAATGTTACGAACGATTTAACGCAAAAAAAAAAAATAAATAAATAAATAAAAATGTTTAATGGAGTTACTTCCTTCCTCCCACCCTTCCTCTTTTCCTCCCTCTCCTTCCCTCCCCTCACTTTTTTTTACATATAAAAACACTCACATGCGACCGACGATTCGTGCTAAATGTTTTTCTTTTTTTTCTTTTCCCTCCATTATTTTATTAAAAATTTTTCGTTAATAAACAAACAAACAATTCGATCCCTCCTTCCATTTTATTTATTATTTATTTATTTATTTATTTATTTTTAACTTATTAAAACCTTAGTTATCAAAATCCTTTTAAACTGTCAAAAAATTCCAAGAGAAGAATATATATTATTTAAATATAATTTTTTATTTATTTTAAACACGTAATAATAATAAATGATAATTTTTATCGTTTATATTAAAAAAGAAAAAAAAATTTTTTAGAAGTGGAAGAGAAACGAACGAGGGAGGAGGGAAGGGGGGAAATTTTTTTTGTTTATATTAAACGACAAACACACCTAAAAAAAAAAAAAAAAAAAAAAGTAAACCGACAACCTGTCATTAACATAATTTTTTTTTTTTTTTGTTTTGTTTTGCATTAAATTGAAGTCGATTAAGTCACGAATGTGAAATTTTTTATAAAATTATTTATGCGGGGGTCCCCCCGAAATGCCGGGAGTGGTGGGGTACTCCTGTAATCCCAACTACTTGGAGGGAAGGTGTAGAGGATGTTTTAACGACGGGAATTCTGGGGTAAATCTTCAACTTGGATGCCGTGGGGGGAGCCTGAGGTGGCCAGGTTGAGTCTGAAAAGGGGAAAAATCAGGGCAAAAGTCATCGAGTTGGGAGTCGTGGGTTCAAATCCTGGGAGTGGGAGTTCGATTTCACCTCGTTCAAACAAGAACAGACCTGTACCTAAAATAAGGGGATAAGTGGCCTTGACCCTTTCGAGAAACGCATTAGGGATTTGTCGACCCTTGTTCGAGTGGGTGAAACTGGATACTTGATCCAAATAGAGAAAACGCGGAGCTGCGATGTGAAAAGAAGACAGACGATAGATTAATGGGGTTCGCGGCCCCCCAGATTGTCTCTGGAAACTCGCAGGCTTTGCGGAAGAGGCAGGAACGATGGTAACAGATCGGGATTGTCTCTAGAAGGGTAAAAATAGGAAGTACCGAGATCTTTCTCAAGTAGGACTCCCACTTTCGCGAGTATGGACCTGATAATTCTGACTCAGGAGGGAATTGAGGCTGAAACGCGAGCGTCCCTCTCTCCAGGAAACAGAACACGGTGAAACACGTCCAAGAGTTTTAGTTGGGTATCGGCTAAGTCCCCCCACACTTTCCCTGCCACCGGGTTAGAAGATCCCCCGAGACAAAAATATTTTAATTCTTTTTTTTTAAGGGTTTAATTACAATTAAGGCTATTTAATCGTCATTTCGATCGATTTCCCTTTACTTTTTTTTCTCTCTCTCAAGTCTCTCTATTTTTTTTACTCTCTCTCTCTCTCTTTTCACTCCATTTTATTAATTTTTTTTTCACTTTTCCTTTTCCTTTTTCTCTCTCTCTCTCTCATAAAACGGTTAAAACATTTTAAAAAATAAAAATTTAACGAACGAACCGTAAACTTTTTTTTTAACCGATAAAATTTTTTTTTTTCGTTAACGTAAATTCAAAGAGATCAAAAATGGAGATTTTTTTTTTCTTGTACTTAACATTATTTTACGACTTTAATTAAAGGTTAATAAATAAGTTTAAATAATTTTTTGAAAAATGTGGGGAGGGGGGCAGGGGGATTTATAAAAAGAGTCGTTTAAAAATTCTCTCTCTACCTCGCCCCGTCTCCCTCCAAAAAAAAAAAAATAATGTTTCCCTCGTGTACGACAAAATATTATTAATAATAATAATAATTTTTAAAGTGGGTTATATCATTTATTTATTTATTTATATTTTATTTATTTAAATTCATTATTGGCGTGATTATTAAACGTTTATTACGTGGGAAAAATGTTTAACGTTAGTTTATAACTCAATTATTTTATGTTTTTCCTTTTTAATGGACGATAATTACGAGTGGAAAAGTGGGAAAATGACGACGATTTATTTATTACTTATTGATAAAAAAAATGATAAATAAAAAATCCTAGAGTAAATAAACGGAAATGAAATTAAAAAAAATTTTTTTTAAACCCGTACTAAAAGAGGAAACGTTAAAGAAAAACCTTTTGCAATTTCTTCACATTTCTCTCTCTCTCTCTCTCTCTCTCTCTCTCTCTCTCTCTCAGAGTTCGTTTGAAAAGAGACGTTTTTGAGATTTTTATTTCCGGGGAAAGTAATAAATTTTTTCACTTTCTCTCCGTATTTTCCTTTTACTCCCTTTTTCCCCCTCCCACCTCCCCTTCCTTAACACCCGAAAGTTTTTTCTGTTTGTTTTTTAAATTTGTGTGCGCGTGCGTGAGATATTCATACGTGAAAATTTTTTATTTTATAATTATTATCATTATTATTAATTTTCTCAAAATGATTCCTCCCCCTCCCCTCTTCCCCCTTTCGCCCCCAACGTAATTTTTATTAGGATAAAAAAAAAAAAAAAATAGAATTTTTTTTAACTTGAGTAAATTTTTTTAAAGATTAAATTTAAAAATTTATGAACGTTTTTTTTTTTTTTCTCTCTCTATTTTAAAAGTGAGAGAGAAAGAGAGAGAGAGAGAGAGAGATTTTAGATAGATTAAATTTTCTTTTTCTTTTTTTTTAAAGAAAGCTTCTTAATTTATTAGAAAGTCATTTCCCAACAAGCACAACGGGAAAAAGAATTATTTTTGCATAAATAATAAATTTTTTTTTTTTTCTTTTTTTCACAAAACTATTAATACGAAGCTTTTAATTGTTTACCAAAAAATTAAACCGTTACGTCACGATAAAATAATTCTGATAATAATAATATAACGTATAAAATGGTTTTCCTCCCCCTCCCATCAACGTTACGCGCGGGGTTGGTAAAAAAAAAAAAAAAAAAAAGAAAAATAATGTTTCGCTTATGTATTTATTATTATTTTTCCAATGTGATGAATTTAGCTCTGTTAAAAATAGGATTTTCAATATCCGATTCTAATCTTATGAAATATGGAGTTTCGGCTTCTGTGAGTCCCGTAAAAGGCCTTCCAGGTTTTATTAGTGATTCGAGATATTTTCTCCTAGATTTGACCCATTTACGATTCACGGTCAACTCTTTGAAAATCCTTTGCGGCGAAGGATAAATGTGGTTCATGAATTCCCGAATTCTTCCCCACGAATTACCCTTGTTGTGGTGTTGTAAAAAATATCTTGGAATTCTTAATAGTACCGTTGGATGAGTGCTCGTGAGTATAAATTTACTTTCGATTGATTCTCCTATTCCGAAACACGCACCCGATGTCAGGGTGGCAACTTGAAAAAAATAACTTTGAACTTGAATTTTTTCTTCCCCTTCAAACAAATTTTTTGGTAAATAATAAATTATTTATTTATTTTATATTAAATGCGGTACGTGTCTCCCCAAATTCCGCGCGCGTGTGTGTGTGTGCGTGTGCGTGTGCATACCTGAATCTACATTTTTCTTTTCGAGTAACGGAAGGTTATCAATAATTTTCTGAAGGGTTTTGTCAACAATAAGCCCGGTTATAAATGGCTCGTGAATTTTCCTTCTTACTGGCCTCTCGACATTTTTTATTGTGTCTGATAATGGAAAAGTCGTTTCATTTTTAACTGAACTCGATTCCAACACTTTAAATTCCGCGTGAGGATTTCTTTTTATAAAAAAAAAAAAAAAACAAAAAAAAAAAATTTGATGTCCTTAGGGTACGACGAACTAGGATTTACGAAACTCTAAATATACGTTAACAATTTTTTTTTTTTTTTTTTATATACCTGGAATTATTTTGCTGAACTTGCATGTGATATAAAACCTGACAACTTCCTTCGATTATAAAATAAGAATTATCGGAATCGTCGAAATTACCACCCATTATCAGAGTGTTATCACCGTAACTTATTATCCGGGACAAAATGCAACATTCCACGACTGCCCGATGATCCCAATTTTTAAAATATGCAAATTTTTTCAAACATTTTGTTATTTCCCTTTGTTGCTCCCCTAAAAATTCTTCTAAAATATTTTTAAATTCTTCTTTTTGAACCGTAAGAATTTCCACGTGGGTTAATGTTGTTACCGTAGTCGGCCAAGGTTCGTCGTGAAGTATGTTTATCTATCGGAAAATATTTTGGGGGGGGAGGGGGAAATTTAAAAAGAAAAATTCGAATAATTTATTTGAAAAAATAAAAAAAAATAAAAAAACCGAACAAAACCTCTCCGAAAGATTCTCCCGCCGACATGACAGCGACTTCTACAGATTTATATTTTTTTATACCGGGATCGAAAACCAATTTTGTTACGCTCGCTTGTCCCGACAATATGAAATACATGGCAACCGATGGATGACCTTCTGAAACGAGTACTCTTCCGGGTGGAAAATAATAAAACATTGCCGATGACGACAAACTTTGTCGCACGTTTTCCGGATACCTATCCAAACATTGCATTCGTGTCGTGTCTAAGACTTTCGATAAAATCTCCGACAATTCTTTATCCCTTTGATAAACGGGAACTCTTAATAAACCTTTCATGGATGTCGTGAGCTTTTGGGATTTCGACGTGACACTTTCTGATGCCATCGTTTCCTCTGGGATACATAATATATAACGATTAATACCATAATACTCGATGGCAAAGAAAAACCACAGAGTTTTAAAAAAAACGTTATTTCAACGGTCGGAAAATATCAACTAAGATTACATTTCGACGTCGTCGAAACATCTAGAAAACTTCCATAAATAGTTTAGTACGCCACGTCATAAAATCAATACTAGCAATAAAAAGCATATATATATACATAGGCCATGTGATAAAAATCATAATTTCAACTTAATAACCGTTATTATTATTATTAATAATCACCGTTTTATTTAAATAAAATAATAATAATAATAATAATAATAATACCCACCGGTCAGCCATTTTAAATTATTAATAACCGTTCTTACGAGAGCTCTGAATATATATTTCGGAGTTCTTTTTATTTTAACAAATTTTCTAGATCTATTTAAATTTTTTATTAATGTTTTTAATTCTCCTCGACTTCTTTGTTGATTTTTTGCCAACAACATATTTATATTATATTGAAACAAAAACAAATTTAATATTTAAATATATATATTTTATATATTTACGCACAAATACGCGTATTATGCGTTATGACGACGACCGCTTTTAATAAATAATAATAATAATAATTATATACATATATGAAAAATTTCATCATCATCATCATCATTATTTTTTTTAAACTAATAAAATTTATATTAATTCGATGACTATAATTTATATTTTAACAAAAAAAAAAAAAAAATTAAAATTAACAAACACGCATTTGAAAATATTTACGTGGAGCCATTTTGTAAAAAAAAATAAAAAACTTTTGTTTATTATTATTATTATCATCACTTTTTTTTTCTGTTGTGCGCGTTCATGAAAAATAAAATAAATTGTGAAAATTAATTAAAATTAATTAAAATTTTATTTTATTTTATTTTATTTTATTGAGAAAATAAAAAATTAACCGTTACTTTAAGAAAATTTCAAATTTTTTCTCTCGACCTCCTCCTTAAACGTTAAAAATTAATAATAATAATAAATAAATAAATAAATAAATAAATAAATAAATATGAAAATTTAATCGTAACAACATTATAACGAATCGAATTTACGTCAAGTCGTGGCAGCAGATAATTTAATAAATGTAATAAACGTCGGCGGGAAATTTTTACCGAGGGGAAAAAATTTATGTACGTTAATGTACCTTAATAAAAAATAACCCTTTTTATGTACATAATAGATAATCATTTAAATTTAAAAAAAATAAAAATAAAATGGCTGACTTTTATTTTAATAATAAATTTATTTAAATTTCCCCTACTTCCTTTTCTCATCGTCATCACGTATAAAATAATAATAATAATATCATCATCAACAACAACAACAACAACAACGACAAATTTTAAATTTTTAAAACAATAATAATAATAATAATAATAATAATAATAATAATAATAATAATAATAATAATAATAATAATTGAATTAAAGTTTTTCTTTTCGTAAAAAAAAAAAAAACAACAATAGAAAAGATTTATTATTAACCACGTCCGGATAAAATTTCGTTCGGGGGGCGCTAGGGCGGGGGCTGGGAGAGCGGGGGCGCTGGGGGGGGGAAGAAGAAGAAGAAGAGAAACGTGTGAAAGTTACGTGTAAAAAAAAAAAAAAAAAAAATCATGCTAAAAAAAAATATACAAAAAAAAAAATAAATAAAACATTTAAAAAGAAAATTTTAATGAGAAAAATTCTTTTCTCTCTCTCTCTCTCTCACTCTCTCTCTCTCTCTCTCTCTCTCGATGTATATTTTAAACGTCTTGATTTTCTTCTTATTCTTAAAAAACCAAACTCGACGTTAAGAAGAAATAGCAAATTAACATTAAAATTCTTTCGTTTCCGCCAAAATAAAAAAAAATTAAGAAAAAAGAAAATGTCTTACCTTATAACTATCTACAGCATGAGCTCCATCGTATATGTATAAATGATCGTTACAATCTAATTGTAAAAGATCAAATCTCAACATGAATCTTTGCAATATGGAATGAGTTTGAAATGTAACAATGCAATCTAAATTTCTTTCATTTTGCGACTTCAAATAACCTCCTTCTATTTTCCTATATAAAGCTTGTCGAAATCGATCTTCGCAAAGTGCTTGCATATCATCTGGAAAATAGAAAAATTACAAAAAAATTATTTTCTAAAAAAGTTTTCCCCTTCGCCTTCCCCTATCCCTCTCCCTCTCCCCTCCACTTCTTTTTCAAATACGATATGTAAACAACGTTATCATCGTTAAATTTTACACTGATAACAATTCAATATCGTTATACGGAATCACGTGATCCTTAACCACATCCCCTCTCTCTCATTAGTCCTACAAATTAATTTATATTTCCCGTTTGTTATTGTTGTTGTTTGTTGTTTGTAAGACGATAAATTTTACGTAGAAAACAACAACAACAACAAATTTATAATACTTTTGTTTGTATAATATATATTATATACATTTCCTTTCGACCATGTTTTTAATAAAATGAAATTTTTTTATGTTCATAAAAGTGGAACAAATTACACTCGAAAATTTTTCTTTCCGCCATTATTACAGCAAATAATAATAATAATTTTAATCACATTGATTATAATAATGATGATAAAACTCATCGAAAATTTAAAAAAAATTTTCTTTTTGTGAATCATTAAAAGATTACGAAATCATTTTCCACCCCGCTCCCCATTTCCCGCTCCACAATTCAACGTTATAATGACGAATGGGAAAATTTTCCGGAAAAATCATTATTATTATTATTATTTTTCGCTTTGTCTGTCACTTTTTTTTTAAATTACATATTCGTAATGCATTTTCCTTTTCTTTTTTCAAGCCATTAATTTTCTAATTAAAAAAAAAATTTTTCTTTTTTCTTTTTTCTTTTTAATTAAAGACTCCAAGTTTTTTTTTTTTTCTTTTCTTTTCAAAACTTTTTTTTTGGGGGGGATAAAAATTTAAGAAAACCATTTTGTAGAGTCACAAATAGCAGAAGAAAACTCGAAAAATAATATATATATATATATATATATATATATATAAAAACATTTTTCGGGACACACACACAAAAAAAAAAAGTTTTGAAAGTCTTTTTTTTTTTTTCATAACCACAACGTTAAGTTGTAATTGATTAAAGTTATGAAAAAGTCTTTTCATATTTTTTCCATAAGTTTTTATTATTAAAGAAAAGTTTTTTTTTTTTTTTTTTTTTTTTTTATTATATTAAAAATTAGAAATTATTCGCACGGATAAATTCGAAAAGGTTTTTCTTTTTTTCTTTTCTCGTATTATTGTGTGCTGGGTTATGTGTGATTTTGGCAAACCGTTATAAAAAAATATATATTTCCCCCTCCTCCTCTCTCCCTACCCCCTCCCCCAAAAAAATTATAATGTGAGCTTTTTTTTTTCGAATATTTTTTTTTTGGCACGAAAATTTTAAATCATTTAAAAATATTTTCCATTGTAATAATAATAATAATAATAATTCAATCTTTGTGATGACGAATTCAAAAAAATTTCCCCTCCCCCTCCTACCCTTTATCTTTTTAGTCGTTACGCACATTCATTTATAAATAATAATAATAATGATAATGATATAAAAACGTTTCATCATCATCATAATCATATTTTAATTAGGATTTTATAAACGTTTGAATTTTTTTCCCTCCTCCTCCTCCTCCTCTTCCTCCTCCCCCCCACCCAAACAAAAAATTATTTCCAGAAATTATTATTATCATTATTATTATTAAATGCTTTTTATCGTTTTGACTTTTCTTTTTTTTCATTAGGATCACGTTTAAATAAAAAAAAAATTTTTTTAAGTTAATTAAAAAACTTTAAAGAGTTTTTCTTTCGTTTTTCCCCCTCCCCTTCCAACCCGAATCGGATGGCGATGATGATAATAATAATAATAAATAAAAAATAAAGTTTTTAAAAAGTCTTTTACCTGTCAAATTATATATATAAAAAAAAAAAAAAGAAAATGGAAAATGTCCCGAAAACCGATATCGTGAGGTTTTCTTTTTTCCTTTTAAATTCAAAAAAAAAAAGAAAATTCGTGTTCATTAACGTGTTTAACTATTATCATTATTATTAATTTGTTGGTTAACAAAGTTTTATTATTATTATTATTAATTAATATTTTAAATATTTACAAAATAAATAATAATAATAATAATAATTCGAGTCGACATTTTTTTTAAATGATAAAAACTTGTTTGGATTGAGGGGAAAAAAATTTTTCCAAAATAATTTTCAATTATAAAATAAATAAATAAATAAATAATAATAATAATAATTTCATCAAACGTTTTAACTTTTTTTCATCAACCCTCCTCTCCCCTTCGCCTCTCTCTCTCTCTCTCTCTCTCTCTCATCCCCTCCACCTTCTCCCATCCCGCGTTTCATTTCGAAAAAAAAAGAAAAAAAGAAAGAAAGAAAACTTTCTCAAAAGACTTTTTTAATTTTTCAATTGACTTGAATTTATTATTATTATTATTATTATTATTATTATTATTATTATTATTATTATTATTATTATTATTATTATTATTATTATTATTATTATTATTATTATTATTATTATTATTATCATTATTATTATTAAAAAAAGATAAAGAGATACTAAATTTAAATGGCAAAAGTTTTTTTTTTTTTTCTTTCGGTTGGATTTTAAATTTTCATTTTGACGTGGGGGGAGGGGGGGGGTTTAATTCTGACCTTTTTTGTCAGTTTGCCTTTGTCAGTTTTGGTTTATTTAGCAGACGAAATAAAAAAAAAAGGTTTATTGTTAAAAACTTTGACTTAAATTTACCTCTACGTACAATATATAAAAAAAAAAAAAATGATTATTTTATTCACTCGGCCATATTTTTTTTTTTTTTTCACATTCATTCACTCTCTTGAAAATTAATTAATACGTTTCCCCCCTCCCCCTCTCAAACGTAATAGCCTTACTAATAATAATAATATCCGACGAAATTATAAATAATAATAATAATAACGTTTAACATGTTGGGGCAATCTGTTAGAGAATAAAATTTTCAAAACGAAAAAAAAAAATCCTTTTTGAAAATAAATTTTAATTAAGTGTTTAACGAGCCACTATAAATAATTTTTTTTTAAACCCTCCCTTCCCTCCTCCTCTTCCCTCCCCACCGTCTCCCCAAAATAAATAAATAAGGCGCTTAATTTACAAAATAAAATAAATAAACTAATAAATATAATTCATCATTAAAAAAAAATTTTTTTTAACGTTCGCGATGAGGTTTTTTTTTTTTTTTTCTAATATAACAAAATAATAATAATAATAATAATAATAATAATAATAATAATGATGATGATGAAATTTATTAAAAATCGATATTATTATAAAAGTTTGAATTATTTTAATGAATCTCGAAAGTGAGAAAGAGAAAGAGAAAGAGAGAGAGAGAGAGAGAGAGAGAGAAAAGTGACACATTTCGAATAAAGTTTAAAAAATAAGTTGAAGTTTTGAAGATGGGGGGAGGAAAAAAAAAAAAGAAAAGCTCCAA